GGNTTGGACCATATTTGTGAAGCATTATTAAGAATAAGAATATATTTCATTACATTTCTAAAATATCAACATTGAGAGATTTAACCTTTTGTAATCCTATTAGTGAAATTGATTTGAAATTACTTTGTAAATTACCAAATTTAGAATATCACCTTATTAATATTATTTCGAATAATACAAAACATTCCCAATTTAATACATCAATAACACACATAATTAATTTCTACCCTCTTTTGTTATGAAGTAAAACTGTTTTTTGATCATGTCAAAAAACTTTGAATATTTACTTTTGGTGAGCAACAAATTCTTCAGCCAAGTGCTTATTGGTCATCTTCTTGACATTCATCTTACGAGTACGTTTAGTCTTGGTATTCTTTGCATTTTCTTCTCTTTCAGCTTCCTTCTTCTTTCTGTGTTCATCTTCTGGCCATTCAACAGTTTGTATAGCGGGAAGACCAACTTTTTGTAGGAGGGATGGTAAATCTGATGCAGGAATACGTCTCTCTCTTGTTCCCCTCCACAAATCTCTCAGTTTAACATCAACTATTGGCATATCTACACTCACATCATTAAAGTACAAAATGTCACACTTCTTATCTTGGTTGGGTATGGAAATGACAGCCTTTTCCTTCTTGAGCTCTTCAATATCATTTAATACACCCTTGTAACTTTCAGCCAATTCAGATACAGGAATTCCACTAATTACAAACTCTGGATTTTGCAATAATTCCAAAACGTGTTTTTTTTCCTTGATAGACTGATGGATAGCCTTAAAGCAAAAGGTAGCATTTTCATCGATATTCTTTGTGGTTGGTCCTTGATAATCCACCTTGTGATTTTGCATTAATTTCAGATAGATGGCCTTCTTTATCCGATCGTCAAGATGAGCAGCAAGTGAATCCTCAAATTTAACTCCAGTTTTTTCCTTTTCCTCCTCCTCGTCAACTTCATTGGTACAACTGCTATGATCAATGGCTTCCAAAATTTGTTGAAATGTATACTTTTTAGAAGTGTCTTCCTGCAAAAATTCAATAATTTTAAAAGTAATCAACCCAAGTGTATGTTCCTTCGTGGCCTTTTTTTGTGCCTTTTCTTGTTTAGTCAATGTAGGAGTGGCCTCTGTTGTCTCGGAAGAGGCAGCTACAGGTGTTTGAACAGCGGCACTCTCTGCCTCCTCTTCATAAGTTCCTGCCGAGTAAAATTGGGCATGTTTCGGACCACCAGCTTCATCCTTTGATTTTGACTTTT